TAGCGGACTTGAACTGGGATGGAATGATCAGTGTTTATCCAGGTTATTGGAAACTGAACGTGCGGCTATTGGAGGGGGAGGGGGATGGGTCCGCTTTTCAGGACTGGTGGAAGAATATCTGGGAAACGCGACGGGCAGGTGAATGTTTGTTGGAATGGTGGGAAACACGTGCCAAACCCGGAATAGCGAGTTATTATAAGAAGCGGGGAAAAGAGGAGGCGAGGTGGAGGTATGGGCTGCAAAACTATCTGGAGGGACAGCTAAATGATTACTATGTGGGGGGTGGGAGTAGTAGGTATGACGACATTGAACATCTTCGTAGTCGACTTGCAGAAATTCACAATGAACGTTTCAATGCGGTTAGAGTCAGAGCAGGTATGAAAGAAGTGCTATGGGGTGACAAACCTTCGGGTTGTGTCTTGCGCAAATTTAGGGTCAGACAACAGGCGACGTCCCTCTTGCAATTGGAAGTATGCACGGGTTTGGGTGGTTACCTGCCGGGTCAAGTACTCCTCACCACGGACAGCATGAGTTTTTATGCTGATCTATGGTTTGGGGAAAAGCTACAGCGGGGAGTAGGGGGGGTCCATGTGGGTGGCCTGGTTAGGAGGGATTTCAGAAAAGTTATAAGTGACAGGGATAGAACGGTACTAGAAGGTAGAATTCGAGTGGAGGAGGTAGAGGAGGCGATTTTTAGTATGAGTAAAGGAAAGGCACCAGGTATAGATGGCATTTCGAATGATTTTTATAGGGCACATTGGGGAAGTATTAAGTATTGTTTGGTTGATGTATTAAATTGCATGCTCACGGAGGGGAGGTTAGGTATGTCACAAAGTATGGGGGTAGTTGTGTTGGTGCCCAAAAAGGGAGGGGGGGAGGGGTCTGAGTGCATATAGAGCAATATCTCTTATGTGCTCGGACTATAAAATCTTTGCAAAAGTTTTAGGAAACAGAATGAGGAAGGTTATGGGGTCGGTTATTCACGAGGGACAGCTAGGCATACCAGGTAGGAGCATGAGGGACGGACATGTACATATTAGGGAGTTTTTGGAGGAATGTCAAGGGGGAGGTGTCCTCGGGCTTGACTGGCAAAATGCTTATGACTGTGTTGATAGGGATTTATTGAGGCTTATTTTATTGAAGCAGGGTTTTGGAGAGGGGATTGTAAGATGGGTTGATACCTTGTATGTCTCGGCTATGGTACGCGTACAGGTAAATTGGGGCAGCCGGTCCGTATGGAAAGGGGTTTGAGGCAAGGGTGCCCCCTCTCCCAGCTGCTTTTTGCTTGTATGCAAAACCCCTTTTATGAGCTGGTGGATGGTGGTTTGAGGCGTGGAACGCTGAGCAGTGACCATGCAGCGCGTGTGGTCGGGTATGTAGATGATACCACGATTTTCTTAAAAGGGGAGGAGGATTTGCAGATCGTGGGATGGATTGTTGAGTTTTTTGGGGCAGAGTCTGGCATGTGCGTCAATAAGGCAAAATCGAAATTATTGGAGGTGGGTACATGGGTGGGGGGAGGTTGGGCGAAAGGTATGGGTGGTCAGTCGTGGTGCAACTTAGAATATGTGGTATCGTGTACATGGCAGATGAGAGGCTTTAGATCGACTTCGGGGGTTAAGAGCTGGGGATGTCTCATTGCAACAGAGGACAGTAGTGGTTAATACACTTGTTTATAGTAAGGTATGGGGTGTGGCTGAGGTGTACCCTTTAAGAGATATGGATATTCAGGAACTGCAGAGAAGGGTCTTACGTTATGTTTGGGGTTTCGGGAGAGCTTGGTTAAGTCAGGAGGTTGTCATGACCCATGTTCGTCGTGGGGGTTTAGGTCTCTTGGCTTTGGGGTCACGGGTGAAGGCCCTCTATGTAAAGCAGCGGTTCCTCAGGGCGGGCGGTGAGAAGGGCATCCGGGTGGGTCGGGTAATGATCGAAATGCTTAAATGGTGGAGCGGCAGGGGATTAATCGAGTGTGAGGACATGCTGCGTTTGTTGTTAAAGTTGAGAAATGCGCAACGGATCCGGGTGGGGCAAATGGTCAGCATATGTTGTCGTGGGGAAATTGTACAGGGATTGTCTGTTTTTCCGCTGTATAATTGGGGGGAAATATGGGAAGGATTTTGTAAACTTAAGTTGGCACCAAGGGTTCGTGAATTGGTGTACAGATTTGTCATGGAGATTTTAGCATCAAAATCGGTCTTAAATAGGATGGGTTTGGTAAGGGAAGCGGATTGCTTGCGTTGCGGTCTCGAAGACACAGCTTTTCATGCTGTCTACTTTTGTGATACCTTGGATAAAGTTCATTCGTAGTTGGGGCGGGTTTTAGATTTTCTTAGTGGGGGAAGTATTTCAACCTTACGGGCCTTAACATTGGACGTTAGCGGAGTATCAAGTGAGGTACGAAGAGCAATAATGTGCGTGGTGGCTGATTTCCTCTATATCTCGTGGGGTATGCGGGAAACCGGGGGATCAGTTAGGATCAGGGCAATTGCGGCAGGTATCTACAGAACGTATTGCAGAAATAAACTCATATATGGTAGAAGTTGGGATAATAGTTTTCCTGCAAAGTATCGAAGTCTTACTGTTCAAAGGTTGTTGCAACTGGGGGTGGGGTAAGGCAACGGGGGGCTGGACTCCCCCCATGGTAGCACCAAACGGTATGTTAGAGACTTCAGGGTAGAGGGCGGGTTTTAGGGAGTGACGTGTATGTAGTATGAATGGTACCGTGCGTCTGTGTGTGTATGGTTGTGGCATCATGCATTTTGATAATACAGATAAAAAGCAATATTTCAGTATATGTTCCAGCCTCTAACAAGACTGAACTGGTTCCCGACTATGGCCGGGGTTTGGTGAAGTATGTTGGGTCTTTCCTGGAATTCCCGTTAGGTTTAGTTTAATCATTTGTACGCGGATGTCACGCTGATATTACCGCTAAAAGTACAACGTTATACTGGCCTTTAAGGGAAATGTTCATAAGCAGACCTTTTGGTGATGATTGTAAACTTTTGATGAAGGGCAAAAAGTTTCATTTGCCTGAGATTGTGTTTGTATATGTAGTAGCGGCCACCACTGTGAGGGAAGGGGGGGTTGAGATGTATCATGTCCTATATTGTAATCTTTGGACATTCAGGTTCCTTGGGCAGCAGCTTTTGTGGGATATGTTGTTCCCTCATCCAGTGATATCACATGTATTTTTTTTTTTCATTTATGGTGCATATAGTCAGTTGATGTTCAATTAAGCACCTTTACTAATATCACTGTATACAAGCAAGGTATATTTTTTGTGGGTTTATAATTAGTTTGAGAAACTAAATATGGGGTTGGTCGGGGTATTAGGTGTCTGTTTCCTCATATGTAATCATACATGTTAGATCTGTAAAAGTCTAATGTTAATTATTAAACTCTGCATATTTTGATTCCTTTTTCAATATATGCAAAACCAAAAATAAAGAACACCATGTTTCAATTTCAAGAGTCATGTAGGTTTCTGTTAGTTATTTTATATAACCATAGTACCATTGAGTGTACAATGTATTAGTTTACATGATATTGTTTTTCATATAAAATTTTTATTTAATCATAGTACCATGGTGTGTGCAATGCATTAGTTTATATGATATTGTTTTTGTATATAAAATTTCATATACAATATGAATAAGACTGTCAGGTTTTGGTTATATAGTTATTTTGTGGTTAAGATATGTTCCGGTAGTCCTCTGTTTAGTTATATGTTGTTGTCTTATACAAAGTTTTCGCGTTTTTTGTTTTAAATCATTGATGTATACCAACCATGTATACTGTGTTTTTTAAATAAAATATAAAAAAAAACTTAGTAGTTAACATTATTGTGTCATGTAGGTTGTGAAATAGGTGTTTTTTTCTACTTTGTATGTGTAAAGAGGTGCCAATTGTATTAGATTGTTGAATTAGCGTCTATTACTTTTGGTGTATCGGAAATAATAGGGAGCACACTTACACCACGCGGGGTGCAGACCAGAGGCCTAGCTTCTCTCTACGAGCCCCGTGAGAGCGGGGAATGTGGCTAGGCCTGGGGACACTTGTCCCAAAGATGAGGAGGTACTATACCTCCTCCCATGGGAGACTTAAGTCTCGAGACACTCCCCAGATAGGGAGCCAAGGCCGGGTCACCACTACTTGGAAAAGACCCGGGCCGGGAGAATACCGGCGAATAAAAAAAAAAAAAAACACGCGGGGTGGTTGGTGTGCGCTCGGAACTGTCGAGATTTCACACGAAGAGCGTCTTAGATTGCATGATATGAGTATCAGTGGCGAGTTGTGAATGTGCTGTATAAGATGTAATGACAACGAGTCAGTACACATATAATCCTGTATCAAATGTGTAGAATGATTTAGTATATTTGTATAAAATGTTAATGACATAATTGTGAGGTGTGTGTTGGTGTGTTGTGTATATATTAAAGGTCAGAAGGACGGGGTTTATTTGTAAATCAGGTAATAGTGAAAGTATACTTTTTGAGGGGGCACTGTAATTTTGATTGTATCATTATAATAATAACTCACAGGTGTGGGTGTGTTGGTTGTGTAAGTTAGAGACAGCGTTGTACGTGGTACGAACCACTACTTACAGTTCGTATTTGGTTTCTTTGTTATATATATACTTGTTTATGTACAATGTCTGTATGAAGGATTTAATAACATAAAATGAAATACTAATGCATATTGAAGGTGTAGCGCTTCTCTTTGTTTATAATAATAATGCATATTGTATGTATTTGGTTGATGTAACGTAGAATTTTGTGTAATCTTGTTTTAACTAGGCTAGGGACATGATGCTCAGGGGACGGGCGACAGTTTGTCACCACAGAGTTAAACGTCCAGTGGTAATTATAATTTCTGTGGAAGAACTGATAATGTGATATTTTGTTTATTTAATGTATTGTATTGTTTTAAATAAAATGTAAAAAAAAATCATTATACAATTTCCACAATAAAGATTACTGACTCGGTGTAAATAAATGAGAATATCTTTATTCTTTATTGGAATTACCTCATTATCTTGAACTAAAAAACATCCAAACTGGTTGTCTGGTTGATTTGTTAATTGGGTTTAAAAGCCTATCTATTACACAAAGGTCATTAAGGCTGCTGCTAACCTGTTCAACACCAGTCAAAAAGTTTTTAATCCGTAAAAGGATTAACCTAGCAGAGTATATACACAGAGATACACACCTCTCAGTGTATATATCTTTGTCACTGAACTGGTTGGTTGAGTTTAAAGCCTATCAACTACAGAAGGGTCATTAATGCTGCATGTCACCTGTTCAACACAAATCAAAATTGCTATAATCCCTCGAATAGGGATTCAAGGAAAATTCTGAATATATACTCGAAGATATAGCACTCGGTGCGCATATCCTATGCGTCACTGAACTTCCTGTTTATGCTAAGATGAAGCCACTTATGACACTAAAATTAAAGTCGGCATATTGTATTAATATAGCCTGCAGTTTTGATTTTATTGGCTGACAACAGACCGTGCGCCCAGCACACGACTAGTGAATGAATATCTCATATAATAAAAGTATTGACGAACGAGATGAAACAGCATCAACAGACTTAACTTTCTGATGAGAATGCCATGCTTTGTTTTGCGACCTTTTTTTTTTCCTGCAAGTCATAGAAATGGATTATCTGAGCACGAGGAGACCAGCTCTGGGTGCTCAGGGGAATTAACAGTTTACCAAACTAATATAATAATTATTTTATGGCAGAGACTACAACAAAGAATGACATTACATGAAATCGTAGAGATCAGTGCCTTTAACGTGAGGTACAAAATTATATATTATATAAATATATTTGATGCATAAAATCTGCTCGAAACGAAATATACTGAAATAAAATACATGGATAATGCATCCGATTCCTTTAGGTTCTTGTACCACAAAACACAAGGCAACACGAACCTACATCAATTCTGCTCGAGACAGAGGGTTGAGAGACCACAAAACCTTTCCTCAGGTCACGTTGTGTAGTGCTATTTCACAAATACCTATCTTTGTTTCCTCTCATGACACAATACATAGACTAGCACACAGACTGTACACACATTTAAACAAGTCAGTTGGGTGGGTTACGGTGATTTGGTGAGTGGTGTTAAAACACTGCCAGCATTGGATCTTTGTCATCTACAGTCAAGGAGGAGGACACACGTTCACTCGGATGTGGATCTATGTCCTCCAAAACTTCTTGTATATTTTTAGCTTGTCTATGTTTTTGTCGGTCGTTGTTTTCATTAACTCTGCGTGCGCTGTTGCCGTTAGATGTCACTTCTATACTAGAATTTCTTTGCTTCTGTTGCTCTTTTGTTTTATCTTCATTTACAACGATGCTTTTTATTTCTTTACTGTAACCTAGTTCAGGATCTTCTGTCTTGAAGCTGGAAGTCTCTGACTGAGGACTATCAAGAACCTGATGAACTTGTTCGGACGCATATCCGCTGCCGAAGAACGTACCATCATCCAGATATTTGGATTCTCCTTCGTCAGCTTTTCGAACAGCGAATTCGGAAAAGTCCCTGAAGTTGGAGAAGAAGTCGTCCACATAATTGTTTGTGTGTGGTGCTATCTGAGAACCAGGGAAGACCACGTAACTATCATCTAGTAGATGGTCGTACTCGCTGTGATAGGCGTTGGGGTCATCTTCATCGTAAAAGGTGCCACCTCGTAGGATTTCGAAGTTCCCGGACCCGAGCAGAGAATTGTCATTATTTTCGTGTTCGTGTTCACGGTGGAACGGCCGGTTACTAGTTGGGAAAGAAAAGTCCGGCTTGTGCAGAGCCTCTCGTGTACCTGAGCTGTGGAAAGCATTGCGGAGATCCCTTAATGACGACTGCTCCCTCTGAATTGGGTTTTCCCGAAACGCCGGACTACGAGGAAGAAATCTCCCTCCCCTGGGTCCCAGGACTCTTGCGGGCAAGGGAGCAGGTGGGAAAAAGGCTGGGTGAAGTGACGGGAGGATAGGAAGAGGATGGCCATTAAATGAAGGATAAAAACTCTGGCCCTCGGGAATTATTATATCATCATCAGGAGTGTGTACTTCAACCTTGTCTGCCTCAACTTTGAAATCCGATGAATACTGTACGGGAAGAGGACTGCCTTCTTCAGAGTGCCCAGTGCTCCTTCCCTCAGGAGTTACCTTCTTTTCGCCGAAGCCAGGAAATCGAAGCGACTCAAAATGATGTGGCATTTCGTAATAAGAAGCTTCACTGCTGCTCACTGCCTCAAACTGTCTCGGGTTTCGACTGTGAGGGATCTGGGGCTCAACTTGTACCCGATGAACTCGTCTGTGGGGTATGTTAGCTGGGTCACTTGAGTCTTGTTCGTCAGCTTCCCTGCGGACCCGTGTCTGATTATTACTGATGCTCACTAATGGCGGGTCTTCACGGTGAAGGGCCGGGTCGTCTAGTGCCTGTTGGAGAGCCAACAAAATGCAGCTGGTTATCAACTCCAACAATTATTCTTGCAACATACAAAAGCAACACTGAAGTGGAAATTTCTTTCGGGAAGTCGCTTCATACTGCATATAAAGAAAGTAAATTAAGACAGTATATACAGGACAGGATGACACCCTAGTAAGCCACACACACACACACACACACACACACACATATACATGTCTTGGTCATTATGTTAAGCAGCAATAACTCATCTCTTCAATCCTAGTCACAATATTATGATTATCAACTTTTTTGATAACAAGTGTTACTTCATTTTCATTTATATATATATATATATATATATATATATATATATATATATAATATATATATATATATATATATATATATATTTATATATATATATTTATATATAAACACTGATCTCTGGCTGAAGGAGACTCGAACCTACGAACCTTGGAGATCCCAGAGATCAGTGTTTGTGTATATTTCGCCTGCTCTTGCGAATTCCTTGCATTATATATATATATATATATATATATATATTTTATATATATATATATATATATATATATATATATTATATATATATATATTATATATATATATATATGAATAAGATTAATTAAAGGTGATACTGAATATGCAAACAACCACTGTGAAAGAATAGTGAAATTCAATCGCACCGTGACTGCTACATTATCAATGAACAATAAAAGTAATGCATCAAAGAATGCATATATATATATATATATATATATATATATATATATATATATATATATATATATACTATATATAGTATAATATTCTAATATGTATGTGTATATATATATATATATATATATATATTGTATATATATTACTATATATATATATTAAATATATATGTTGTGTATAATATAAATTATATATAATATATTATTATATATATAATATATATATATATACTCACCTAATTGTTGGTGCAGGGATCGAGACTCAGCTCCTGGCCCCCAGGTGTGTGTGCGTGTGTGTAAAATGGCAATAACAGTTTACATTTGTATCTTGTAATTTACTTTTTATGTTTAACTGTGAATGGTCTTGTGTCACAGCAAAAGAAGAAATGCTTAGAGCAAGAAATTATGCTTTAGTTATTAATAAGCCAGAGAAAGAAAGATCAGCTGTTCTCAAGCCAAAGAAAGAAAGATCAGATATTATAGAGCAAGCGAAAAAGTTCAATAGCCATTCAGAGAAAGTTCAGCAGCCATTAAGTCAGAGAAAGTTCAGCAGCCATTAAGCCAGAGAAAGTTCAGCAGCCATTAAGCCAGATAAAGTTCAGCAGGGTAAACTAAGCCAGAGAAAGCTCAGCAGCCATTAAGCCAGATAAAGTTCAGCAGGGTAAACTAAGCCAGAGAAAGTTCAGCAGCCTAAATTAAGCCAGATAAAGTTCAGCAGGGTAAACTAAGCCAGAGAAAGTTCAGCAGTCATTCACCCACAAGAGCTGCCCTCTACTTGGCCATCCCAGCACTAGAACCCGGACTTTACTGAGAGGTAGGCGGGATGTGTAGCTGAGCATGTCGTCTCCCTCGTGCTACCAATAAACCAAAAACCAGAATGTGATCGTCTCTCCATCAATCAAGCCATGGTACTAGTACTAACCAAGTTCTCCCTCACGGGAATAACAAATAACATAAATGATGGGATACGGCTACCACCATGGCTCTTTCTCCCTCCTGGCTCGCGTGCATCACCACCATGTGTGCGCCACCAAAGCCAATTAAATTCCAGTTTATACTAGGATTTAAGTGATAACACTGTCTTATTTAAAAAAAGTTTTAAATATTATTTCGAGTGACTCTACTCAACAGTGCGCACTGTTAAGTTTGGTGCGTCTAATGCCATGGCATGTGGTGTAGATTTGTTTGGTGTAGTGTGATTTGTGATGCAAGTTCTGAATTGTAGCGTTTTGTGTAGTGTGTTGGACTGTGGTGAGGCGCAGGGTATTGTAGTCGTGTAGTATGTTGTTGTGTAGTGTGTTATGTAGTGTGCTGTCGTGTAATGTGTTATTGTCGTGTAGTGTTATTGTCGTGTAGTGTTATTGTCGTGCAGTGTTATTGTCGTGTAGTGTTATTGTCGTGTAGTGTTATTGTCGTGTAGTGTTATTGTCGTGTAGTGTTACTGTCGTGTAGTGTTATTGTCGTGTAGTGTTATTGTCGTGCAGTGTTATTGTCGTTAGTGTTATTGTCGTGTAGTGTTATTGCTGGTAGGTTTATTGCTGTCGTGTTATCGGCAAGTGGTCCTGGTGTTAAACGCCGTGTAGTGTTATTGTCGTGTTTTATTGCGTGTGTTGGTTTTCAGTCAGTGTTAATTGTGGGTGTTATCTGTGTGTTATGTCGTGGTAGTGGTACTGTCGGGCACTGTTATTGCGATGTAGTGATTCTATACAGTAGTGTCATGATGTCGTAGTGTATAATGTCATGTAGTGTATTATGTAAAGTTTATTGTGTTATTATTGTGTGTATGTTAGTCGTGTAGTGTTATTTGTGTGTGTTGTCGTGTAGTGTTAGTTGTCGTGTAGTGTATTGTGTGTGTGTAGTGTGTTATTTTAGTGTGTTGTCGTGTAATGTGTTGCGTGTAGTGTTATTGTCGATTAGGTTACTTTTCCCTGTAGTGTGCGAGTGTTATGTGTGTATGCTCGTTAATGTTGTATGTTATTTTTCGTGTAAGTATGGGGGTTATAAAGCTCCGTTCAAGCGGAAGGCTGGGTCAACACGCCGAAATAGCCCAGTCGTTTCTCTGACAAATGGTGTCTAGGTTTATATATTGGTACTGGGGTAGTGATGGGTGGTAGGGCAGACCGCCAACTCACTAACCAGTGGTCATACAGTAGTTGACTGAGTCAGTACTGTATATGGAACAGTCTGTAAAAAAAAAAATATTATAAGTCAGTGCATGACGGTAGTGTCGGTTATGCTAGGTGTGTCGTTTGTCTTGTTGGTGGCGCTGTAATGTACGTGTAGTGTCTTATTTTGTGTTGTGGTATGTCTGCGTCTGCTAATGTTTGCTCGTACTTGTCATAAGGTGTACGTTGATCGCTCGTTTAAAGTTTATAAAAAATAAACGTTAAGTTTGAAACGGTAAATGCAAAGACAGACTTGTAAGGCAGTGTCACATCAAATACCATGTTTACCCCCTTTTAAAAAGAATCGTTACAGTTGATATTTGGTCAAATAAGGTGAGCAGGTGCATATGTTAAGAAGAGTTGCGACGCAGGAAGTGAAAACCCAACAGAGTAGTGACACGTTACAGCGAGCGACTGGGTTATAGGGGCCCTCTAGTTAGTGAGTTGCGCTTCCTTCGTTTGTCGTCAATGTAATGTATGCTGTGCTATGCCCATTTGCCCTCGTCCTATTTCTACTCCCAACGCCACTCTCATAACAAACAACACACGTTAGTGTACCTGTAATCAAACCCTGCTTTATAATGTTATGTACATCTAATACAGTTTAACATACCCCTTTGAGAACATAACTAACAGCCGATATTTGCAAAATAAGTGAAAGGTATTATTAATTATTTAAGAGTTGCCAACGATAATAGAGTAGTTGATCACCTTACATCTAGCACTGTTTAGTCCCATCTATTAGTGTTCTTTTCCTCGTTTTGTCCTCTCCATGCCATGCTGTGCTATGCCATGCCCTCTCTCTCTCTCTCTCTAACTCTCTCACACTCACACACACACACACGGGTGGGGCCAGGACCTGTGAATCAACCCCTGCTACCGCATGTATGTGAGTACACACTTACCAGTCCTTTGAGATACACATACACAGCACGATACACGCAATTCATGTTTATAATCATTTAAACTTTATATATTAATTCTCAGCATTATTATACAAATAATTTTGCTTACTGAATATTATGATAGATTTACGTACTTGTACCCGTGTTGCAACACACCAAGCCATGCTTTCAAGAGAGACTGTAATGCACTGTATCTTATAAAGTGGTACAGACTCGGTCCTCCGTCCGCTAATCGCGGTCCGGTGTCTGATCCATCAAGCTGTGCGTGCACTGTGAGATCATATACTGGGATCTACATAGATTAGCAAAGCAACAGCTTAGAGGAAATCAAGTCGCCACCATTTCTAACTAAACTATTTAGCATACTAGAAGAAACCACGGAACGGGTAGGAATTGAACCCATGGCAAGTCCTAGAAGGTTAACTCTTTAATATACTTGAGGTTTAATTAACATATATTTAACCCTTTATTAGAGCAACAGTCAAGATGGAGATCAACTTAACATTAAGATTATTATTATTATTATTATTATTATTATTATTATTATTATTATTATTATTATTATTTATTATTTCATTATTATCGGTATATTATCAAAGAAGGCTAACCACATACATATAAAAATAAGAACAGAACCGATGGTGATATAATTTCCACATGTTTGTTTTTTAAACTGTGCTCTCATTAAGTTCTACAATGTGACTAGTTAATGTAAATGTTAAGCACCTTCTCGACTCATAACGTGCCCCTAGGTTTCCATGACTAATTCGACCTCTATGGCAGTTATAACAATGTCGTAGGAGTGAAGTCTCCCAACGAGGACTCCTGCATCAAGTGATTTACATAAATGTTTGTATAAGGTCACAGAGGTCTATTTAGAAGTCGATCTATTTGTGCTAAGCCATGACCTATTTGCATCAAGTGAAATCCCTATGTCATTATAGTGACCTCTAGTGTTATCATAGTCACATCTAGTGTAATAAAAAGTGGCTCTAGTGCTATGAACATGACATCATAGTGCTAATGATACAAGATGTCCAATGATGATAACATGTGTACTCAGTGTATAACATGTGACCTCTTGTGTCTATATTGACTAAGTGTTACCTTCTGTGCTATAACTGACCTCTAGTGCTATGAACAAGTGACCTCTAGTGCTATAACAAGTGACCTCTAGTGCTATAACAAGTGACCCCTAGTGCTATAACAAGTGACCCTAGTGCTATGAACAAGTGACCCCTAGTGCTATAACAAGTGCCCTAGTGCTATGACAAGTGACCCTAGTGCTATGACAAGTGACCTCTAGTGCTATACAAGTGACCTCTAGTGCTATACAATGACCCCTAGTGCTATGACAAGTGACCCCTAGTGCTATGACAATTGGCCCCTAGTGCTATGACAAGTGACCCCTAGTGCTATGATAAGTGACCCCTAGTGCTATAACAAGTGACCTCTAGTGCTATAACAAGTGACCTCTAGTGCTATAACAAGTGACCTCTAGTGCTATAACAAGTGACCTCTAGTGCTATAACAAGTGACCTCTAGTGCTATAACAAGTGACCCTAGTGCTATGACAAGTGACCCTAGTCTATAACAAGTGACCTCTAGTGCTATAACAAGTGACCTATAGTGCTATAACAAGTGACCTCTAGTGCTATAACAAGTGACCTCTAGTGCTATGACAAGTGACCCCTAGTGCTATAAGTGACCTCTAGTGCTATAACAAGTGACCTCTAGTGCTATAACAAGTGACCTCTAGTGCTATGACAAGTGACCTCTAGTGCTATAAAAGTGACCCTAGTGCTATAACAAGTGACCTCTAGTGCTATAACAAGTGACCCTAGTGCTATGACAAGTGACCCCTAGTGCTATAACAAGTGACCTCTAGTGCTATAACAAGTGACCTCTAGTGCTATAACAAGTGACCTCTAGTGCTATAACAAGTGACCTCTAGTGCTATGACAAGTGACCCATGGTGCTATGACAAGTGACCCCTAGTGCTATAACAAGTGACCTCTAGTGCTATAACAAGTGACCTCTAGTGCTATAACAAGTGACCTCTAGTGCTATAACAAGTGACCTCTAGTGCTATGACAAGTGACCCATGGTGCTATGACAAGTGACCCCTAGTGCTATGACAAGTGACCCCTAGTGCTATGACAAGTGACCTCTAGTGCTATACAAGTGACCTCTAGTGCTATAACAAGTGACCCTAGTGCTATACAAGTGACCCTAGTGCTATGACAAGTGACCTCTAGTGCTATAACAAGTGACCTCTAGTGCTATAACAAGTGACCTCTAGTGCTATAACAAGTGACCTCTAGTGCTATGACAAGTGACCCATAGTGCTATGACAAGTGACCCCTAGTGCTATGACAAGTGACCCCTAGTGCTATGACAAGTGACCTCTAGTGCTATAACAAGTGACCTCTAGTGCTATAACAAGTGACCTCTAGTGCTATAACAAGTGACCTCTAGTGCTATAACAAGTGACCTCTAGTGCTATAACAAGTGACCCCTAGTGCTATGACAAGTGACCCCTAGTGCTATGACAAGTGACCTCTAGTGCTATAACAAGTGACCTCTAGTGCTATAACAAGTGACCTCTAGTGCTATAACAAGTGACCTCTAGTGCTATAACAAGTGACCTCTAGTGCTATAACAAGTGACCTCTAGTGCTATAACAAGTGACCTCTAGTGCTATAACAAGTGACCTCTAGTGCTATAACAAGTGACCTCTAGTGCTATAACAAGTGACCTCTAGTGCTATAACAAGTGACCCCTAGTGCTATGACAAGTGACCCCTAGTGCTATGACAAGTGACCTCTAGTGCTATAACAAGTGACCTCTAGTGCTATAACAAGTGACCTCTAGTGCTATAACAAGTGACCTCTAGTGCTATAACAAGTGACCTCTAGTGCTATAACAAGTGACCTCTAGTGCTATAACAAGTGACCTCTAGTGCTATAACAAGTGACCTCTAGTGCTATAACAAGTGACCTCTAGTGATATAACAAGTGATCCCTAGTGCTATAATTTGTGACTTATTGTGCTACATTTGGCTCATAGTACTATACCCTCTAACCTCTTGTGCTATAACAAGTGGCCTCTAGTGCTATGACAAGTGACCCATAGTGCTATGACAAGTGACCTCTAGTGCTATGACAAGTGACCCCTAGTGCTATGACAAGTGACCTCTAGTGCTATGACAAGTGACCCCTAGTGCTATGACAAGTGACCCTAGTGCTATGACAAGTGACCTCTAGTGCTATGACAAGTGACCCCTAGGGCTCAAATCAGAGACTTATATTATAACATGTGATCTTTGGTGCTATCTATAACTTGCAACCTTGGACCTCGTGTAGCCACTGATTCGTCACCTTCTAGAGTGCCAGGTGATGCTGCCACTAAGACGTTGCCTGTTCCTGCCTCCGCCACACAAACAGGTACCATTCAAAGCAAGCAGCGTTCCAAGGGGTAACTAATCTAGGGATTGCAAATGGTATGGTGATACCAACAACCTGTGGAAAAAGAACACCTGTCTGCAGTTCAGGGCATTTATTGATGGGGGAACGTTTCGCCAACGACTGGCTTCATTAGTCCTAGGACTGAAGAAGTCAATCGTTGGTAAACGTTTCCTGAACTGTTCACAAGTGTCCTTTTTCACTATGTAGGGATGCTGAGGCCCATATCAATGGCATATCCACCGCCCTGATATCCCCCTAGATATTAATTTGATGTGTGATACACATGCTGTCTCAGCACGCTGCTGGTAGAGCTGAGAGCTCTACAATACGAAACAAATTTGTACTGAATGACACTGTGCGTTCAAGGTCACACCTATATAGTCAGTGACTTCGTTTACGAAGTTATTATATGTAAATTTTCTCCGAGTCTCTTGAAGAGCCGTTGAGGGGTTAAGGAGGAGGGGGGAGGTCATTTCATCGGGATCTGCGCCAAGCGACTTTCCTCTGGTGAAGATAAAATCAGTTATTCTGTTGAACCTCTTGTGCTTTAGTCAGGCGATGATAACCACATTCTGGTATCCCGTGAAGAATCGTGTTCTGCGTGTAGGGAGACGTGATATCTACTTCACGTGCAGGAAGATTTGATAACTGTTCCATGTGCAGGAAGATTTGATAATTGTTTCCACGTGCAGAAAGATTTGATAACTGTTCCACGTGCAGAAAGGTTTGATAACTGTTCCACGTGCAGAAAGATTTGATTACTGTTCCACGTGCAGAAAGATTTGATAACTGTTCCACGTGCAGAAAGATTTGATAACTGTTCCACGTGCAGAAAGGTTGCTAAGTGTTCCATATGCAGGGTAGACAAGAGCTACCTTTAGAAAAGGTTGCTCAAGTCGGTAAGGTAGGTATAGGTGTCTGAGCTTAAGAAAACTGCAGTATTCGGAGAAAAAAAGGTCAACAAGAGATGTTCGCGTGAAGAGACAGCGAGACGAGTGAAGAGAAGTACACAGCTGCTGAAGGTGAGGAAGAGCACACATATGCCAAAAGGGAAATGTAGTAAGGAATGTACTGGCTCAATAGAGAATTCAATAGGAGGATAGAGAAGGGGTGACGCAGGGTACTTAGTACCTGTCTCTGAGAAGTGCTGAGGTGGCGGGAGGGCCTCACCCGCTCACGGAAGGGGGTAAGAAAGCTGCTGAAGGGACTCCTGTTAACCTTCTTGGGCTTTCCCCTGTGAAACACAGGCCGGACAGGGCTGTAGCCGGCGGTGGTGGGGATTGTGTTGAGTGAAGGCGGTGATGGGGGAAATGGATCTGTGTCGTAATCTGAGTCGGTGTCGTGGGGAAATATAAATTGGAAGTCGTCCTCACTGTGGTCAGCTGAGGATGGAGAGAATGAGGCAGCCTGCTGGTGGGGGGACACAGGCTGTGACTGGTGCTTGGGAACATCGCGTACCAAACTAACCTGCTTTTGAAACTGCTGAGGTGAGAACTGGGGCTGTTTCTCGTTGATATCCGGAATGTCGACTGAGGGAAAGCTGATGTCTTCCATGAAGCTACCAGCAGCTGCAAAAGTTGTATATACCGTTAAAATTTCTTTGTAATGTTTGCTAGTAGTATTCTCGGTGGACATAAATTACTTTGAGTTTCAAACTCGACCAACTAGCTAGGAGTCACCTAAAGCTGATCCTAAGAGAACTTTTTTTTTTCACAGAAATGCTTGCTATATAACTTGGTGAAGGGCTCTCGATACATGGAACTGAAGTTCTACTTTCCCCTTCCTCGGATCAAACTCAATTACATCTCATTCCCCAGGCGGGATTAGCGCTTCCCTAGGAATAGAATAATAACATGGTGTGACAGAATCTGCGTTACGCTTCAGTCAGCTGAAGTGCTAATTGAATGCGTCTCGTGGCGCACTCAACCCGTGTGGGTTGGGTACATCACGGTGGAGGCTCAGTCCTCCACCTGTTCATCACAAATCTGTCTCTGACTAGTCAAAGCGCTGGAAAAGGCAGCAGAAAAGTCAGCCCGAGAGTGACTTATAACCGTAACACTTACTTTGTCATGGAAAATGACAGGGAAAGCTAGCTTTTGTTCCAACAATTTAACTATCACGTAGAATACAATAGCGCCACATTACTGATGTATCCAATTTTGTTTCAAAAAAAAAAAAAAAAAAAAACTCACCGTTGCCCTTCTCCAGGGCGTCCATGGGACCAAAGCCACCTATGGAGTGGAAGCCGGGGAAGGATGCCGGCTTACCTACTATGAAGCCAGCACTGTCCTGCCTTGCAGCCTCGGCGTCTGCAACACCGGATACTAGCGTTAGAGTACACGTGGAAACACCAGGTGTGGAAACACAGTAGACACACATCAAGTGAGCATACATATACTCTAGATACATAAAATGTGGATATATAGGCTGTATCTATATATATATATATATATATATATATATATATATATATATATATATATATATAATATATATAATATATATATATATATATATATATATATATATATATATATATATATATATATACATTATTATATACATATATATACATATGTATAATATATATATATATATATATATATATATATATATATATTATATATATATATATATATATATATATATATATATATATATATATATATATATATATATATATATATATATTATATATATATATATATATATATACAATGTACACATACGGTATAAGGTGCAGATACAATATAAGGTGTGCATATACAAGGGGTGAATAAGAACATGAGAACATAAGAAAGAAGGAACACTGCAACAGGCCTACTGACCCATGCGGAGCAGGTCCATGTCAGTCCCCCCCGGATTAACCCAATGACACACCCTCCCCGGATTAGCCCAATGACCCACCCAGTCTGGTCACCTCCACTCAAGGATGGAGCACTGCACCAGACCCAGCAGCACAAGCTAGTCAGGTCCAATTAACACCCACCCACACCCACTCATGTATTTATCTAACCTATTTTTAAAACTACACAACGTTTTAGCCTGAATAACTGTACTCGGGAGTTTGTTCCACTCATCCACAACTTTATTACCAAACCAGTGCTTTCCTATGTCCTTCCTGAATCTGAATTTTTCCAACTTGAAACCATTGCTGCGAGTCCTGTCTTGGCTGGAAATTTTCAGCACGCTATTTACATCCCCTTTATTTATTCCTGCTTTCCATTTATACACCTCGATCATATCTTCCCTAATTCTACGCCTTTCGAGAGTGCAGATTCAGGGCCCTCAGTCTATACTCATAGGGAAGATTTCTGATACATGGGATCATCTTTGTCATCCTCCTCTGTACGTTTTCCAGAGCATTTATATCCATTCTGTAATACGGTGACCAGAACTGAGCAGCATAGTCTAAATGAGGCCTAACCAAGGATATATAGAGTTGAAGAACAACCTGAGGACTTCTATTATTTATACTTCTAGATATGAAGCCAAGAATTCTGTTAGCTTTATTGCGAACACTAATGCACTGTTGTCTTGGTTTTAGATTACTGCTAACCAGAACTCCTAAATCCTTTTCGCAAGCAGCAGTATTAAGATCTACATTATTTAGTTTATATGTGGCATGGTTATTTACCTGTCCAACATTTAGAACTTTGCATTTGTCAATATTAAACTGCATCTGCCACTTCTCCGACCATTGCATCAGTCTATTCAAATCATCCTGGAGTGCTCTAGTGTCCTCATTAGAATGAATTGGACGGCCTATTTTGGTGTCATCAGCAAATTTGCTTATGTGTATGCACAAGATATGGATAAAGAAATGGTGCTAAGATGAGAGATACAGAGTGTGCTGAGAAGCCAAGAGTTAGATCGACCCTTCAGTCAGCATAACATGGCAGAGGGTTTCTCGATGCCGGTGAGGAGGGGGCTCCTGATCCAAGGAACCGGAGTTCCCCAGTTCCCTGAATAAAACCTGATTACTTCCCATTCCCCAGGAGCTAAGGGACCCTTCCCCTCCTCCATACCCCTACGGGTTTAGCGCTTCCCCGTAGATGTGACAGCAACGCTACATTGCAGTGTAGTTACATCTCTGTCATTCATGATTACCAGTGAAGGCGAGTGCTTGGTTTCAAGCAGCCACTTATAAAGGTACAAGTCTGATCATCACGGTGCTTTAACCTTTCCAAGAGCAAAACATAGGTAATGCAACAGAACACACATGGAGACAACAAATCAACATAAATATTGTATTTTTCCACCGAAATATACAATACTCATCTCATTTTCCGTATTTTTCAAGCCTCTCCCTGTGTGTGTATTTATGCTGTTAATCAGTGTTCATTAAAATTTTTTTTTTGTATATGAAAAAATCTGATTTTTAGCTGAGTAAATATACAGTTATATGAATAAACAGAAGGATGGACGAGGCTCGAACCGCGGTCCAGCCTCTCGTTCATCCCTCTTTATATTCACTGACACTCGTTTATTTCGACTTAATCTGAATTCATACAGTGATATTTTTTGAAATTACAGTTCTTTCTTCATCATGGTAAACAACTTATATGGAGAATATTAACCATATTACACAATTAATCAGGTGAATATATTAGTTCAATAAGCACTAGAAGCCAAGCGAGCATGCAGAATGTATATTATATACAAATTCTTTATACTGTGCAGTGTTTTTCTAGGAGTTTGTTGTGCTGTGTTGAGAGGGGGAAACCAGAGGTGACATTGCTACTTATTAAAACCCTCACAATACATAATATCTTGTTTGGAGTGGTTAGACAGATTGTGCTATCGTGTTTTGTTTACAGTCCACTGAACAGTCAAGCAGTCACCACATTAACTTATGTTAGTGAAGTGCTAACGTCAAGTTTTGACAGTCAAGTGATAGCAGTGTTAAGAAGTACTAGTGGGATCAAGCAGGATTTGGGTCAAGTACTACAAATTATTTGTGTCAAGGAATTTGTAGCATCATGTAGTGTGTCAGACGCCATTTTTTCATGGGGATGAGAGCGGGGCATTTACTCTAGCTACTTTGAAATCTTCTGAAATTAGAATTTCGAAATGAGAATTTAAATTTGGTTTCCTGTCATACCCATATATATTGTGGGAGTCGAGAAAATAAGCTTTGTCGGTCACTTTGTCGACGTTCAGCCGTGTTCCGTCGAGTCGGTCCTAGTCGGGGGTCGAAGTTTGGCTTACCAGAGGAGACGGGTTCCTCAGAATTTCGCCGCTGGGCTACAAGGAGTCTCTTGCTAATAAGAGGGATATCTTGCTGTCGGGTGACCTTTGGTAGACGTCGGTTCTGCATCAGGATATGTCTGGGGGCTCGGACGGAGGAGAAAGGGGGCAGGATATGGGCAGGAGGGGAAGGCCCGGGTCTGAGAGCGGGGATAAACTGGTGAGGCCGACGAAAGTTCTTGGAGGGATATCGAGGATTTTCATGAGAGTTTTTAGGAGGACGAGTAAGGCTGGAACTTTCATGGACGACAGTGGGCTTTACACTTGTGTGATCTAAGAGAGGACTGTCAAAATTCGACAAGAAATTTGAAGGTTCGGTTCCAAAAAATGGTGAAAGATCAGTTACTTCTATAGTCTCATATTTGTTGTTTTCTTTCAGAGATGAGACTTCGGGGAAAAGGAAGGAAGGATCTTGTCCACCGAACTCGTATTCTATAATAGGCTCTCCAAACTCGGCGTTTTTATATCGCTGTTGCTGCTGCTGCTGCTGCTGTCTGTTGTGGGGATGAGGTCTGCGCCCTTGGTGGTGAAGAGGACGGAAACGTCTGTATCTAAATTGGGATTCAGAAGCTTGAAGGTCGTGATTAGCTAAGGTTGACTGGGTATTCAGGGCGCGTTTAGAACGGGTTCTGATGTGATTAAGCCTTGTATTATTTGATGAAGGCAAGTGAACACCAGCGAACTGACTACTCGAGGTGGGAGGAATGCGCCCTACGGTGTGTATGTTAGCGTTTGAACCAGCATTTGAAAACGAAGAAGAGGATGCAAAGTGCTGAGTCGATGGCTGGATCTTACGCACGAAGCGGTTTTTATCACTTAAAAATAAACTCTGAAGAGACTCAGGTACACCACCACTGTAAGGGGCATTCAAAATTTCGTGGATTGCATCGGTGATACCTTGCCTTTCCTGAGATATCCTGAGATCTCTGCGACGTCTAATACCTATCTGTTCGAAAAAATTAGGAATTACAAAGGGAATTTCAAAAGAGTGTGACGAAGATGGAGAGTTTAGTTGAAGCCGTCTACGTGAATGTTCCCTGAGCTGAGGAGTGGAGAGTTTGGCAACTGGCTGAAGGTGTTTGGGATATCTATTGCTGAGACTAAGCACACTACTAATGGAGGAGGGAGCCGAACCTTCCCCTGGAGAGGCTATGGTCTGGCCGAGTTGAGAAGACACGTCCTGCCCTTCCCTCGCGTCTCGCCTTTGTCTTGGCAGTCTTGCTGACTCAAAGGAGTCGAAGTCTGAAGAGCCAAACTGTTGTCCTGTGAAAGATGGGAAAGAAAAGGGCTCCGGGGATTGGACGGGTCTCTCCCGAGCAGAGGGAGAAAACTGCTGTGGAGGAGAGAAGGATGGAAAGGAAAAAGTCAATGGGGAAGACGACGGTGCATGAGGGATTCTCGCTGAAGATGATTCAGAGAGCCTAGCTGAAGATGAAGGAGAGAACCTTGAAGAGGAAGATGAAGGAGAGGAGAACTGTGGGGAAGGAGCAGTATCTGAAGAGGATGAAGAATCTGGTGAGGAGGAAGAGATTTCAGGGAAACGTTCGTGAATTACTTGAAAGTTTGGAGGTCTGTTAAGAGGATGCTGGCGAGTTGGGGAGAGGGAACTAGTAACAGTGTCCCGCTGTGGCCGGACGAACTGGGGCTGGAATCTAGGGGGACCTACTGCGGTGGACTGGGAGGTGGGTGGGGAGATGGAAGGGAAGGGTTGTGGTGGGGGCCTTTTAGGGCGTCGGGGTCCCACAGACTGTCTGGGGGGCCGGATATTGGCGTTGCGGATGAGGAGGGCCTGCAGGTGGTTGGTGGCAGGTAAACCTCCATAGGGAGCGCTCAGTATACCGTCGATGGTCGAAGTAACACCAGCTTGTCGTTTAGTTCTTCCTGTGGAGCGTCGACGGAGAACATACAAGATGAGGTCAGCTTTTCTGAATCATGAGAGCAAACACAGCATGATATGTGTATGCACAGTCTGTTACCTGTCTGTGGTGCTTGTGTCTGGCACTTGCCTGTGTGGTTTGCGGCAAGTGATTGTGGCACTTGTTTGTTACATGCTACTGTACTACACTACTTATCCTTTATAAGTGTTATTAAAATACTGTAAGTCAATGTAAATGGTTAGTTTGTTTGGCACGGCTTGTCAAGTTAGTTGTGAGCGGGTCAAAAAGACTGATATTTATATACAGTGTATACACCTTGCATGTGTATGTGTGTGTGTGTGTGTGTGTGTGTGTGTGTGTGTGTGTGTGTGTGTGTGTGTGTGTGTGTGTGTGTTTTGTAATATATTAGCCTAAATTAACCAATCCATTGCTATACAAGAACTCATCCAATATTTTAACCTGCCGACCATACAAGACATACAAGCTGAGGTTGTATGTCTCAGCATCCAACATCGATAAACCTAATGAATAAGACATATGTGCAACACCTGGGTATCTTTATTGGAAAGAGATTTCACCTGTTGCACACACACACACACACATACACACACACACACACACACACACACGCACACACACACACACACACACACACACACACACACACACACACACACACACACACACACTTCACCCCCACAGCAACAACCCATAGTTCCTTACCAGGTCTCCCACTTCCCCAACCCCAATATACTTCCCAGACTACAGTCTTAGAAAAGAAGTTGAAGGTGTGGTATACAAATGCAGATGGAATAACAAACAAGTATGAGGAGTGGCACGAAAGAATCAAAGAGACATCCCCAGACATAATAGCACTCACAGAAACAAAACTCACCAGAATAATAACAGATTCAATCTTTCCATCCGGATATCAAATCTTCAGGAAAGACAGAGGGAGGAGAGGGGGAGGAGGAGTTGCACTGCTCATTAAAAACCAGTGGGGTTTTGAGAAAATGGAAGGAATGGATGGCATGGGCGAAAGGGACTACTTAGTAGGAACAATCCAGTCTGAGGGACATAAGGTGATAATTGCAGTAATGTACAACCCACCACAGAACTGCAGGAGGCCAAGAGAAGAATACGATGAGAGCAACAGCGCAATGATCAACACACTAGCCGAGGTGGCCAGGAGAGCACACATGGGGGGAGCAAAGTTACTAGTTATGGGTGATTTCAATCACAAGGAGATTGACTGGGAAAACCTGGAGCCCCATGGGGGTCCCGAAACATGGAGAGCCAAGATGATGGATGTGGTACTGGAGAACCTCATGCATCAACATGTTAGAGACACTACCAGAGAGAGAGGAGAGGATGAACCAGCAAGGTTGGACCTTGTATTCACCATGAGTAGTTCGGACATCGAGGGTATCATGTATGAAAGGCCCCTGGGAGCTAGTGATCATGTGGTTCTGTGCTTCGACTACATAGTTGAGCTCCAAGTGGAGAGAGTAGCAGGAATAGGCTGGGAAAAACCAAACTACAAAAGGGGGAACTACTCAGGCATGAGGAACTTCCTTCAAGACATTCAGTGGGAGAGGGAACTGACAGGAAAACCAGTACAAGAAATGATGGACTATGTAGCAACAAAATGCAAGGAGGCAGAGGAGAGGTTTGTTCCCAAGGGAAACAGAAATAATGGGAAGAACAGAACGAGTCCTTGGTTCACCCAAAGGTGTAGGGAGGCAAAAACTAGGTGTAATAGAGAATGGAAAAGGTACAGAAGACAGAGAACTCAGGAAAATAAAGAAATCAGCCGAAGAGCCAGAAACGAATATGCACAGATAAGAAGGGAGGCTCAGAGACAATATGAAAATGACATAGCATCAAAAGTAAAGACTGACCCGAAGCTGTTGTACAGCCACATCAGGAGGAAAACAACAGTCAAGGACCAGGTAATCAGACTGAGGAAGGGTGATGGGGAATTCACAAGAAACGACCGAGAGGTATGTCAGGAGCTCAACACAAGATTTAAAGAGGTATTTACAGTGGAAACCAGTAGGACTCCAAGAAATCAGAACAGGGGGGCACACCAGCAAGTGCTGGATGAGGTACATATAACCAAGGAGGAGGTGAAGAAGCTGCTATGCGAACTTGACACCTCAAAGGCGGTGGGACCAGACAACATCTCTCCATGGGTCCTTAAAGAGGAGCAGAGATATTGTGTGAGCCATTAACAAAGATCTTCAACACATCATTTGAAACTGGGCAACTCCCTGAGGTATGGAAAATGGCAAATGTAGTCCCAATTTTTAAAAAGGGAGACAGACATGAGGCACTAAACTACAGACCTGTATCTCTAACGTGTATAGTATGCAAGGTCATGGAGAAGATCATCAGGAGGAGAGTGGTGGGGCACCTGGAAAGAAACAAGTGTATAATTGACAACCAGCACGGTTTCAGGGAAGGAAAATCCTGTGTCACAAACCTACTAGAGTTTTATGACAAGGTGACAGAAGTAAGACAAGAGAGAGAGGGGTGGATCGACTGCGTATTTTTGGACTGCAAGAAGGCTTTCGACACAGTTCCTCACAAGAGGTTACTGCAAAAGCTAGAGGACCAGGCACACATAACAGGAAAGGCACTGCAATGGATCAGAGAATATCTGACAGGGAGGAAACAACGAGTCATGGTACGCGACGAGGTGTCAGAGTGGGCGCCTGTGACAAGCGGGGTTCCACAGGGGTCAGTCCTAGGACCTGTGCTGTTCTTGGTATACGTGAACGACATAACGGAAGGGATAGACTCAGAAGTGTCCTTGTTTGCAGACGATGTGAAGTTAATGAGAAGAATCGAATCGGACGAGGATCAGGCAGGACTACAAAGAGATCTGGACAGGCTACAAGCCTGGTCCAGCAACTGGCTCCTAGAATTTAACCCTGCCAAATGCAAAGTCATGAAGATTGGGGAAGGGCAAAGAAGACCGCAGACACAATATAGTTTAGATGGCCAAAGACTGCAAACCTCACTAAAGGAAAAAGATCTGGGGGTGAGTATAACACCGAGCATATCTCCTGAGGCGCACATCAATCAGATAACTGCTGCAGCATACGGGCGCCTGGCAAACCTACGGATAGCGTTCCGATACCTCAGTAAGGATTCGTTTAAGACTCTGTACACCATCTACGTCAGGCCCATACTGGAGTATGCAGCACCAGTTTGGAATCCACACCTAGTCAAGCACGTCAAGAAATTAGAGAAAGTGCAAAGGTTTGCAACAAGACTAGTCCCAGAGCTACGGGGATTGTCCTATGAAGAAAGGTTGAGGGAAATCGGCCTGACGACACTGGAGGCCAGGAGGGTCAGGGGAGACATGATAACGACATATAAAATACTGCGCGGAATAGACGAGGTGGACAAAGACGGGATGTTCCAGAGATGGGACACAGACACAAGAGGTCACAATTGGAAGTTGAAGACTCAGATGAATCAAAGGGATGTTAGGAAGTATTTCTTCAGTCATAGAGTAGTCAGGCCATGGAATAGCCTAGAAAGTGATGTGGTGGAGGCAGGAACCATACATAGTTTTAAGGCGAGGTATGATAGAGCTCATGGGGCAGGGAGAGAGAGGACCTAGTAGCAATCAGCGAAGAGGCGGGGCCAGGAGCTGTGACTCGACCCCTGCAACCACAAATAGGTGAGTACAAATAGGTGAGTACACACATACACACACACACACACACAGGTGGGGAGCTCACAAGAGACGACCACGAGGTATGTGAGGAGCTCAACATGAGATTTCAGGAAGTATTTACAGTGGAGGCTGAAGGGGCAACGGGAAGACAAAACAGTGGGGTACAGCAACAAGGGATATACCAACAAGTGTTGGATGAATTATACACAACTGAGGAGGAGGTGGAGAAGCTCCTAAGTGACCTTGATACCTCAAGGGCGGTGGGACCGGACAACATCTCTCCATGGGTCCTTAGAGATGGAGCAGGGACACTACGTGTGCCACTAACCAAAATCTTTAACACTTCCCTTGAAACTGGGCAACTACCTGGAGTATGGAAGAAGGCAAATGTAGTCCCCATCTTTAAGAAGAGAGACAGAAATGAAGCACTAAATTATAGACCAGTGTCACTGACATGTATAGTATGCAAAGTTTTGGAAAAGATTATCAGGAGGAGAGTGGTGGAGCACCTGGAGAGAAACAAGATTATAAACTACTGCCAGCATGGATTCATGGAAGGCAAATCCTGTGTCACAAACCTACTAGAGTTTTATGACAGGTAACCGAAGTAAGAAATGAGAGGGAGAGATGGGTTGATTGCAATTTCTTGGACTGCAAGAAGGCCTTCGACACAGTTCCTCACAAGAGATTAGTACAGAAGCTAGAGGAACAGGCACGTACAACAGGAAGGGTACTGCAATGAATCAGAGAATACCTAACAGGGAGGGAACAGCAAATCATGGTCCATGATGAGGTATCACAGTGGGCGCCAGTGACGAGCGGGGTCCCACAGGGGTCAGTCCTGTGACCAGTGCTATTCTTGGTATATGTGAACGACATGACGGAAGGGATAGACTCAGAAGAGTCCCTGTTTGCAGATGACGTGAAGTTAATGAGGAGAATTAAATCAGACGCGGACCAGACAGGTCTACAAAGAGACCTGGACAGGCTGGATGTGTGGTCCAGAAACTGGCTCCTAGAATTTAACCCCGCCAAATGCAAAGTCATGAAGATCGGAGGAGGGCAAAGAAGACCGCAGACAGAGTATAGGCTAGGTGGCCAAAGGCTGCAAACCTCACTCAAGGAGAAAGACCTAGGAGTGAGTATAATACCGAGTACATCGCCAGAAGCACACATTAACCAGATAACTGCTGCGGCATATGGCGCTTGGCAAACCTGAGAATAGCGTTCCGGTACCTCAGCAAGGAATCGTTCAAGACTTTATACACTGTGTACGTCAGGCCCATACTGGAGTACGCAACACCAGTTTGGAACCCACACCTGGTCAAATACGTTAAGAAATTAGAGAAAGTGCAAAGGTTTGCAACAAGGCTAGTTCCAGAGATAAGGGGAATGTTCTATGAAGAAAGGTTAAGGGAAATCGGCCTGACAACACTGGAGGACAGGAGGGTCAGGGGAGACATAATAACGACATACAAAATGCTGCGTCGAATAGACAAGGTGGACAGACAGGATGTTCCAGAGATGGGACACAGAAACAAGGGGTCACAATTGGAAGCTGAAGACTCAGATGAGTCAAAGGGATGTTAGGAAGTATTTCTTCAGTCATAGAGTAGTTAGGAAGTGGAATAGTCTGGCAAGCGATGTAGTGGAGGCAGGAACTATACGTAGTTTTAAGACAAGGCATGATAAAGCTCATGGAACAGGGGGAGAGAGGACCTAGTAGCGGTCGGTGAAGAGGCGGGGCCAGGAGCTGAGTCTCGACCCCTGCAACCACAATCAGGTGAGTACAATTAGGTGAGTACACACATTTGGGATTTGGCCATCTAGTATCTTCCATGTGTATATTACTGCTATCTCTCTCGCATTCTTTCCAGTGTGTAAAATTTCATTTCTTTGAGATGTTCCGGTATTTTTAATACTGTACTGGCTCTGTCCAGAAGGTAAATGCTCTCTGTATTTTTTCCATCTCTACTATTCCACTCTCTCTCTGGACAGTGCTGTCAATACTGAACAGTATCCCAAGTGAGGGAGCGCAAGTGACTGTAATAGTGTTACACACACACACACACACACACACACACACACACACACACTTGATAAAGCACGTCAAGAAACTAGAGAAAGTACAAAGGTTTGCGACAAGGTTAGTTCCAGAGCTAAGGGGAATGTCCTATGAAGAAAGATTAAGGGAAATCGGCCTGACGACACTGGAGGACAGGAGGGTCAGGGGAGACATGATAACGACATATAAAATACTGCGTGGAATAGACAAGGTGGACAAGGACAGGATGTTCCAGGGAGGGGACACATAAACAAGAGGCCACAATTGGAAGTTGAAGACACAAATGAGTCAGAGAGATAGTAGGAAGTATTTCTTCAGTCATAGAGTTGTAAGGCAGTGGAATAGCCTAGAAAATGACGTAGTGGAGGCAGGAACCATACACAGTTTTAAGACGAGGTTTGATAAAGCTCATGGAGCGGGGAGAGAGAGGGCCTAGTAGCAACCGGTGAAGAGGCGGGGCCAGGAGCTAGGACTCGACCCCTGCAACCACAAATAGGTGAGTACAAATAGGTGAGTACACACACACACACACACACACACACATGCAGGCAAGGACCATCCTCCCCAAACAAGTGAGCTCGAACTGAAGCACCCAGTTCGATGCGTCGTTGAAGAGTTCATACTTGCGAAGTCTCCCATGAACTCCTGGGTAGGAAGGTTGTGAGCGAAGTTCTCAGGGAACCCGTTGAAGGTCTCCCTCGGTGTCTCCTGCCGCGCCGTCGGTGCCAGGAAGTCCCTGCAGGCAACAAACATTGTGAGTTACACATTACACCGGCCAGAAGGGTTATGACCTACCTGTAGGCAACATCAGACACCAGGAGTCATGGGCTTCCTGCGGGCAACAACATTCTCTCAGTTGCACATTACCACTAGATATAAAGGTCATGATCTTCCTGCAGGCAACATCAGACACCAGGGTCATGACCTCCCTGCAGGCAACAACAACATGAGTAATACACATTACCAAGAGTGACGACCTTCCTACAGGCAACATCAGATCCAAGAATCATTGATCTCCCTGCAGGCAACAACAACAACAAGGGTTACACATCACCAGCCACAAAAGGAAAAATACAAATTTCATTAGACCTGACTTCTTTCAAATTTGAGGGAATTTTAATGTCTAGGTAGCATTACTAATATATTTACTCTTAAAGGGAGGAGAGTGGGTTAAAGGCTCTTAATATGAAGAATCCATACGCTCTTGAAGTTTCCTTTACAAGAACAGCCTAAACAATAGATCGATTCAGTTTTGTTCGGCACCATTTAAGTCGATTAAATCTGCATTTCACTTGTGAAATCTTACGACATTCTCTCGGCACGAACCTTACGGACACACACCCGGAAAAGTCGTAGACTAGGTGCTCGTTAAGGGCGAAGAGCAGAGGTATTGCAGAGGCATAATTTCGTCGCATTTCCCTTCAAGTCTATTGTGTGTGCGACTCCCAGCTATTGCTTGTTAACATTTACTCCCCCAACACATGAAATTGTTGATCTTTTTTGACTCTTATTTACGCAAAAACTTTTATTATGATTATTATAATAATTATTAATTATCATTATTATTAATTATTATTGCCTTCCTTTTGTCTTTATTTTGAGAAGACCTTAGTCAGCTTATGTTTAATATTTACTAGACTTTGGAATGTAAGCAGGTATGTAGTCTCACCCCCACACAGACAATGACGGAGTATAGCTCCTGTCCTCCTCCGGTCGTCACTGAGTCAGGTTTGTGTTTCGACCTCTCTTGTCCGTGTCTCCCAAGACCTGGCTCCTACATCCGAACCTGACCGTCACTTTCATTTACTTTCTAATTATCATGAGCACTTTCATTCATTTTCTAATCATCATGAGAGTCACTTTCAGTCAACTATAACCACGCACTTCAAAATTATCAGTCATAAATTATTTATTATCGTTACCATCACCATGAATACAATCATTACCATGAATAAAATCATCACTATTAATATAATCATCACCATCAATACAATCGTCACCATCGCTCTATCAATATTATTTAGGTCTGGTCATAAATCTATTTTAAACAGCCCAGGAAGATGACCTCTGACCCTCGTAGGTCACGGTAGGTCACTGTATCTTAATTACTTGAAGATTAAGTAGTTAGCGATGGTTAGTGCCACTGTGACCTTGCTTGAGAAAAATCCGCAGGTCACTTGGTCACTTTTTTTTAATGTGAGGCGAAAACTCAGTGTGGGTGATTCAGTGTTAGGAGTGGTGGAGGATCGATCCTCCGTTCGCGGAGATGACCTGAGGTCAGTCGAATCTCAATTACTTGGAGATGACCTGGGGAGGTCACTGTGACTTGGATTGGAGATGACCTGAGGGAGGTCACTGTGACCTGGATTACTTGGAGATGGCTTGAGAGAGGTCACTGACTTGGATTACGTGGAGGTAACCAGGGGAGGTCACTGTGACTTGTACTACTTGCAGACGACCTGAGGAGGTCACTGTTACCTCGATTACTTACTTGGGGTTGAACGGCTGATCTGGAAAGAGAGTAAATGTTTGTCAATGTATGTTCTTACGGAACAAATGTTCAGTATACATACATACACATATATTTATATGTGCGTAGATAACACACACACCTGTAATCACATATAGGTGAGTATACATACATACACACACACGTTTACACCCAAGGGAAAGGAAAACCAGACATACGTGTGTATACACAAAATCAAAATACACACATACACACTATGATAACGTGTACACAGAGGAGAGCAAAACTGATAAGCACACGCACGTGCACACACACAGGAAAACAAAACAAACACGCGTACACACATTTACACACACACACTTACACACACACACATGCTGACATGAATATATTGTAGGTAATTCCCCCCCCCCTTACACTAATGACTTGGTAGTAGTGGTGGTTGTTAGTTAACTGTAGTTGTTGGTGGTTATGGCTGTGTAAGCTGCTTGTAGTGGTGGTGATGGTGGTTGTCGTGCCCGTCGTTGCTGTAGCTGGTGGTGGTGCTGGTGATCATGTGTGGTGGTGCTGGTGATCGTGCGTGGTGGTGCTGGTGATCGTGCGTGGTGGTGCTGGTGATCGTGTGTGGTGGTGCTGGTGATCGTGTGTGGTGGTGCTGGTGATCGTGTGTGGTGGTGCTGGTGATCGTGTGTGGTGGTGCTGGTGATCGTGTGTGGTGGTGCTGGTGATCGTGTGTGGTGGTGCTGGTGATCGTGCGTGGTGGTGCTGGTGATCGTGTGTGGTGGTGCTGGTGATCGTGTGTGGTGGTGCTGGTGATCGTGCGTGGTGGTGCTGGTGATCGTGTGTGGTGGTGCTGGTGATCGTGTGTGGTGGTGGTGGTGATCGTGTATGGTGGTGCTGGTGATCATGGGTGGTGGTGCTGGTGATCGTGTGTGGTGATGGTGGTGGTTGTGGTAAAGGGGGAAGGGGTTGTTAGCTGGTGATGGTAGTGGTGATAGTGGTGATAATGCCACGGAATGATAACGAAATATCAACTGGTGGCTGTAAGTTGGATAACACATTTTTATTACACAAACCGATATTTTTTGTGACTCACGAAATCGTAATGACACGATTGCAAACAAACCATACCACGGGCGGGATTTGAACTCGCGGTCAGAGAGTCTCAAAACTCCAGACCGTCGCGTTAGCCACTGGACCAGCTAGCCACAAGCTAGCCACAAGCTAGCCACAAGCTAGCTGGTCCAGTGGCTAACTCGACGGTCTTTAGTTTTGAGACTCTGACCGCGAGTTCAAATCCCGCCCGTGGTATGGGAATTTTTTTTTTGTGAAGAGTACAGGAAGATATCTATTGAGGATACATACATAAAGATATCTGCCGAGGATAAATGAAGATATCTGCTGAGGATAGATACATGAAGGTATCGCCTGAGAATAGTATACGAAGATATCTAGTGTGGATAATGCATAAAGATAACTATTGATAATACATAAAGATATCTGCAGAGTTGTTCTCGTTCCCACAGAGTGAAAGGGAGTGAAAATTTACAGGAAGAGATGTAATGATGTGAAATTAACGTCATTTTAGCAATTTTCACCTCCAAGCTGGGCAGGTGAGAGTCAGGTGTGTGAGTGGCAGGAGTCAGCTGTGTGAGTGGCAGGAGTCAGCTGTGTGAGTGACAGGAGTCTTCCGTGTGACAGGAATCGGCTGTGTGAGGGACGAGTAAGCTGTGCGAGTGACAGGAGACAGCTGTGTGAGTGACAGGAGTCAGCTGTGTGAATGACAGGAGTCAGCTGTGTGAGTGACAGGAATCAGCCATGTGAGTGACAGGAATCGGCTGAGAGTGACAGCAGTCAGCTGTGCGACTGACAGGAGTCAGCCGTGAGAATGACAGGTGTAAGCTGGGTGAGTGGGAGGTATGGGAAGCCTACGTATGTAAGTGTACAGCCACTTCGTGTACATGTGCGTGAACAGCCACACCTTGTGCAGGAAGGCTCAGCATACAGATGTACTCAATAGGATCGCAGTAAACAGGTGACATCAACAATAGGCAAAATAACCATTAACGAGTTCCTTGATAATGTGAAATCGCGAAAGCGACTGGAAATTCACTATTCTTTTCACAGTGGAAAATCTGCATACAGTTGTATGTTAAGATATAGACTGCTTTAATATTTCTCCATATTTTTTCGAAACAGATTATAACACACTAAAAAAAAAAAGCTACTCATATGGGTCATTCACCACGACATCGAAGCATGTGAGAGCGCTTTCATCTCAGGCAACCCTGAGTAAATATACCATACTCCGAGCCAAACTTGCATAATGACGGCTCTCACAGGGCCCATTGTCTTCCATCACGACAAACACTCGCCCTGACGGGACCTAAACACTACCCTGGCGATATAAACGTAGGGAAGGAACGGGGAAAGAAACTAGACGGGAACTGGAACGCCGCTGCTGGAGTGTCGTGGTAGAAGTCGTGTATTAGCACAGTGTTTCCTTATGTGTGGCAAGAGTAGGTAACGCTAGAAATGACGCAACGTGTGAATGTAACTAGTAGCACACATGTCAGTTACTAGACACCCTAGTGATTAGTAGTCCATAGAGACTCTCTATCCTACACTTTCGTATGCAACAGGCCACCGCAGCTCAATTATTAATGAACACAGGCGAGAGGGTTTATCATCTATGGGTAAGGCGAAGCGTAGGTAAAGAGTCCTTAAATCTGCTTGCCGATTTTCTTTTACACAAATCGGTTTTACAGGTTTAAAGCTCTTATCCTACCTCAGGTCATTTCAAAGCCCAGCCTTGAGGTATACTACCTCCAACCCCCCAGGATGCCACCCACACCAGTCCTCTAACACCCTGGTACCTACTTGTTGAATAGGAACAGCGGATGTAAAGAAACAAGCTCAATGTTTCCACCCGGGTCGGGGATCGAACTACAGACACTCAGTGTGCAACTAACCGAGCTACGGGTCACCTTATGCTCGTCACCTATCGGAAAATAGGTACCTGGCTGTTAGGTGAACATTGTGGGTCGCATCCTGGGAGGGTAAATTTTCACTCTGTATTGACACTTCTTCACTCAAGAAATTAAAATCTGTCATAATAATAATAATAATAATAATAATAATAATAATAATAATAATAATAATAATAATAATAATAATTTATTCATATTATAAGGTCGCTTTTAAGTTGATGAAAGGTTCTTGATCCAAGTAATTAAGATTACCCTCTAATTCCTAGGATAAAATCTGATTATCTCCCTTTTCCCAGATGCTGTATGACCCACCCATGGTTTTAAAACTTCCCCATGAATATAATAATATTATTGGAACGAGACGTCATATTTAGTAACAACAGTGAGTGCATCAACAAGTGAACAACTACGGTAACAACAGCACAACAGTTAGCGTATGAACAGGTGAACAACGACAAAAACAACAGCAACAACAGCCAAAGTGTCAACTAAAGCCATCAGCTCCAGCGCATGATCACTGCTGTTATCGAGACACTTTTCAGTCATGTTCCATGACCGAACTTTCACCCACCGTGTTTACCACTTTCCATACTACTGGCTGACTCTCACACCAGCGTCGCACAGCGACTCTCTTACGTATAAACAAAAACACATTACGCAACCAGGGCGGTTTCCTTAGGTCTGTGAGGGGGATGGGGGAGAGAGGATTCCTGAGCCAAGGAATTGAACCTGTCTTCCCTGTCCGTGGACTGAATCTGATTGCCTTCCCGGGAGCTGGATGGTGCGTACCAGCTATTAGCGCTCCCCCTGACAAATGTGAAGACAAGAACCAGGGGCTTGTGTAACTCTATCGTCTTTGTAAGCAGCAAACTGCCGCTGTCAAATCACATGACAATGAATGTGACAGATAAATACCGGAAAGACAAGATCGGTGTTGAGGTTAGGCGTCTTCCAAGCAATTTTGAGGATGTTATAAAAGCTGCAGAAGCGGTAATAGCAAATAGTTTACGCAGTAAATAGCCCTCAAATGCGCTGCCGCTAGCGCGCACTCGTTACGCAGAAAAAGGAGAGAAAGGAAGGCGTGTTGTGCTGGTGGATCATACTCCTGATTGTTAGCACTCCACCGGGAATGCTAGATGCAAATTTAACATCCACTGCATATGAGAAAAGTTGCTAATATTCCTCCTTCCATCTCCACTCACGTCCCAAGCAATCGCAGCTGCAACTCTGCTGGAAGGAAGCCTCTAAAACTCTCATATCTACTGACATAGTCAAATGTTTAAGAATACCGTCCTCGCCCTACCGAAGTCTCACAGCTCAGGCTGACACATTTCATTACATCACATATGAGAGTTATTCTGCGTGGCTCTTTACAGGGGAAACATAGCTATCTGTGCTCTGAACTTTTCCAGCACAATGGACTGGCTTAATGTATTGATGTGGAAACTGCGACTGACAGAATCACTGATTCACGAAATCGTAATGACACGATTGCAAACTAACCATACCACGGGCGGGATTTGAACCCGCGGTCAGAGAGTCTCAAAACTCCAGACCGCCTGGAGTTTTGAGACCTCTGACCGCGGGTTCAAATCCCGCCCGTGGTATGGTTTGAATCACTGATACCTAATCACACGGCCGGATATGCGAGGGAAGACGTCAATGATGAGCTCACTGCTCCTAGTGATACCTCACATCCGCTGGCTTACCAGTTCACCCAGTAACAAATTAAACCTCACAGTAGATGCGATAACAGGTTTCCACCTTCTTCCCCGTCAGAAAACAAAAGATCATAACCCAGTAGTGTCCTGGGATCCTGTTTAGTTTACATTAGAAAGTATTTTTTAACTAGACTGCGGTCAAACGGTTTCAGAAGCACATTTTCCGCTGAGAATTACTTTATATTTATTAAAGTGTTTCTTGCCTCTAAGGCCCAGGTAATAGACACAGGCAACATATGGACGGGAGCTGCAACTAAGCAGGCAGCGAGTGTCACGCTCACAGTGAATTTAAGATGTTAGGTAAAAGGACAAACGTGCAACTAATGCGA